ATATTATTCTAAGAATTATCATGCACTTATTATAATTTTCCGGGATACTTTTTTGGTACGCATTTATATCGACTAGCAGAACCGGTATCCGCGCTTTTCGTCCGAAAAGCGACTTTCAACATTATTACTCGCTCACTATAATTATTAGAGCCTCAAAATAATTATTAGGGTCAATTATGGAATTATCTCATAATTATCTAATTAATTTCCTTAATTAGCGGTGCAGGTTCTTACATTGTCACCCTTTTAATAAAAAATTACCGAATTGTCACGCCAGGAAATTTTTTTGCCAAAATGTCACGTCACAATCTCGCTGGTCTGACAAGCGGGAATGGTCTGGACACGTGTCAGCGTCTGAAAGGTCAACCATTCTCGCTGGGCTGCCCAGCTAGAATGACAGAATGCTGACACGTGGCAAAAGTACAGACATCCAGAGAATGCTTGTACTTTTGCCACGTGTCAGCATTCTGTCATTCTATCTGAGCAGCTCAGCGAGAATGGTTTACCATTCAGACGCTGACACGTGTCCAGACCATTCTCGCTTGTTAGACCAGCGAGATTGTGACGTGGTATTTTGGCAAATTTTTTTCTTGGCGTGACAATCCGGTAATTTTTTGCCTAAAAAGTGGCAATATGATCAATGTCCCCAACTCATGAATATATTAGAACAATACCCTTCTCTGTAATGGAGATGGTGTATTTATAGATGGGGTTTGACATTTAATGCGATAAGGGAGAATGAGGCTCGATGGGATGGTTTGACTTGTCATCCCCTGTATTTGCCTTGCTTGAAGGCGTTAAGGCCATTATCCAACATATCATGACCGTATGTTCTTGTGATTGGGGAGAAAAGTCATATACTTCCTCAAAGGGAGAGGTGACGTACATGGCTTTGGGTGTGGGCTAGATTGTTGGGTTCGTGCTTAAGGTCGGCCATTTGAGCTGGCTGAAACATATACTTATTAAAAATACTATAATTAAAATAAGTTGTGAAGCATTTATTAATTTTTTGTTTTATCATAAATATTTAAAAACCTATTAATAGATAATAAAATAAATGTTTGAAAATTCACTTAATATTATCCTTAGTGTTATAAAGTAAAGAAAGAGAGATAAGGGGAAATAGTATTACAAGAGAAGGTGAGTGAAAAGAGAAGAAATCAAAAGGAAGTAAGGTGAAATTTGGATACTCATTATTCCATAGTTTTCTCTTGTGTAAGATTACAATTATGAACGGAAGAGTTAATGCTCTATAATTTGGTGGTTACGAAATTATAAATGGAGAATAATTATATCATTTGTACCTTCATAAAATAATATTTTACAACACTTATAATTTTTTTTTATTTGTTTTTGAATGCCTTCTATTCCCGTTATATATTCCCATTGATGTCTTCAAATTTAATGCGGACAATTTAAGGGGAGTACAATTACTTATTACTTCTTCTTTTTTCCAAGTTATAAGCATAGGAAAAAATGACAAAAAAAAACATAGTGTTATATGAATTAAGGGTTTAATGTATCGCTATAAAAAAAAAAGGAGTTTAATGTATCTCCACTGAACTTAAAACGACGTCGTTTTAAAGTTGAGAAAAATGTATTTTTTATAATTTTAATTTATTTCAGGATTATATTAGTCTTTATCGTTATAATTTTTTTTTTCTTCCAACTTTATGACGGGAAAAAAATTAAACCCATAAATTAAACCATCCATGCCTTTTGAACATGTTGTTTATTTTAAAAATATAAAACAGCAACAATAAGGGAAATCAAGTATGAAATGATGCAAGGAAACCATAGCATTGATTGTTTGCACGAAATTAGATGGAGTTGGGTGGGAATGAAAGAACGGTGAAGGTTACAAGGAGGGGGAATCAGAGAGGAAGGGAAAGGGAAGTAACAAAGAAGACGGAGTAGTGGTCACAACTGATTTTGATAGTTAATAGAACAGTTCCCTCCTACCAAATTTGTAAACAAAGTCAACCCCTTTTAACTTCTCACTAGGACATGTGTCACATCGTCTATGATTCACATGGAATGAAAAACTAATGGCTCATTAGCAAAGTTGGATGTGATGGAAAATGGTGAAAGCAATCTTAAATATCAGTGTCTTTTCAAATTTCAACTACTCAATCGTTTCCATTCTATTATCCGTATATTTATGATCAGTGCTACATAAAGTAGTTCAAGTGCTCTCTTCTTGAATATTTGGCTTTCTGTTTATACAAGTAGAATTAGGAAAAACTAGTACAATGTCAGATTTCACTGTGGTAAGATATGGTGCGCAGAGAATAACCAAGAGGGGAATCATTGTGACAAAAAGAGAGAGAGAGAAAAAATTATGAAGGGAAATTTTCAATTACTGACACAAGAATCTTGCATTGCACATATCAGTGGTCCTCGTCATTTCTTTCTATGCAATTTCAGCAATGCGAAATGTTTTAAAGGAGAAACAAGTATTGCAGAAGAGATTCTCTTTGTATTATTTTCTTTATTCCTTTTTCCTATGCCACAGTGGAGTAAAAGGACTAGGGCGTATTTCATCTACACTAACAGCTTACCCTTCCTCCAATGATATATTTTCTTATGTGGTCACATCTTCTCCTTTGTAAAAAGAGTTGAAAAGTCGAATGTTTTAGGTGGGTGGAAGAGGATCAGAATCTGGTTTCTCAGTCTTTTTTCCTCTTATCACTATCTCCTATGTTGATAAGAATCCCACCTGGACAATGATCAATCCCTGTATGTATATGAAACTATAACCTTGAGGATCCATATAAAAGTTGCATCTGCAAGAGTAGCAGTCACGTATAAGTCTTTTTTTTTTCAAGCCAATTTGGGGTATGTACCATTTCAACCAACAACCCATACAGAATCACTACTACCAACATAACCAAAAGAAATAAGAACAAACAAATAAACAAAATAAGCAATATGCATGGCAATATACGATGACTTTTAGTGTTTAGATGTCTTCAAATTAGAAATTATTTCGAAGACTGTAAAGTGTAAACTAAACTAAACTAAACAGGGTAATAGGCGCCAAAACGAAAGAACCTTTAATTACTAAGCATAACACAAAGTTTAGAATCTTAACATAAAGTGCTATCATGTTCATTTGTGTATAACAGAAAACATTGCATGCATCTGCTATTTCCTAAAGCGAGAAAAATCCAATTACATTGAAAATGAGATGATTGCAATGCATAGGGCCCCCAGATGGGTTGCACGTTGGAGAATTAGCTGCTCACAGGACCTAAAAAAAGTATCCCAATTCTTTCCTTTCCTCATCAAGAAATGTGCACTGACACGAATAATCCAAGCCTGTGGGAATTGATGCAATCATGGAGATGTTAGCTGTGGTTGCTTTAGGGGGTTATTCTTGTCTGGAAGCATCAATTCTACTCATCATCTTCAGAATCCACTGCTTGGAAGACATAATTGAAAGGAGCTAGTAGCATCCCCACCAAAGGCAACTTTTCCTCTGTATGCCAAAATTTTATCCAAATGCTTGAGACAGGATCCTTGTAACAAAACCTGGAAAATGAAAGGACTAAATAATGATAATTGGGCCACCAGAAAAGAGATGATAAAAACACTAAAACCACTCCCCAATTAAACCCAACTAGCGAGCGTGGGACGAAGGCAATCCTTCTACGCAGTCTTACCTTTGTAAATAATTGCAAAGAGACTATTTCCCGGATTTGGACCTGTGATCTTTCAGTCACAAGGAAACAGCTTTACCACTACTCCGGTTCGCCCCATGTAGATGATAAAAACACTGGCAAACTAAAAAAAAGTAACGATTTGTCATCCTTTCTAGAGAAGATATATACCATATAATGCATGCAGTTGTTAGCATTTTCAAAAGTTACGAGAGGTCAACACAATATGCTCCTATCTTGCCAACACACACACACACTCACTCATCATATATATACGTAATCCAATGCTTGGCTGAATTCGAGATTTCATAAATCTGAATGAAGCACCCTAAGATAATCATGCTTTGCAAACTAAGGTTCATTAGAAGATTATACAGACTTGTATATTTCCAAAATCAGATTTTCTCTATTGGCAGTAATTTGTCTTATCTGCACTCATTTGATTTTCCCTTGTTAAACCCCACAACAAAATTCATCATCAGATAATGGATAATCCAATAAGACATCGAGTTTGGGATAATCCCTGACCCTGGTGCCACCTATGATAATTAATGGAATGCTGGTAGGAGGATGTTTATTATGCCCCGAGCAAGTGCTCCTTTTCTAAATATAGGAGGAAAAAAGGAGTGAGAGAGACTTTGAAAAGAATAAATGGATATAAATGAGAAGAAATTTTACGTTTTTTGAAAAAGGACCACAAAACAATAACATGGTCCTGGACCACAATAAAAAAATCCTACTGGTAGAGTCCTACCTGAAACACATGCAGGATGTGATAGTTATTTTTAAATTTAAAATTGATAGCGTATCAATTATTTATTGATTTGGTCTAAGAAAATTAATTATGTACAGTTAGTCTATCCAAGACCAATTACCCTTTAGGGTGATTTTTCGTTGTTTACCATATACTAAACGGGGAGGGTTATATTTAGAAATTACAATATGTACTCTCGGAAGTATACTAATTACACTATGTACTTCCAGAAATACATAATATAATTTGCAAAAATTTGTAAATAGATCATTTTTCATACTAAATTACTAAAAATTTGTTAAAAGCAAAAATAATATTCATCAGTTTCCCCATACGAGCTATCAGACCCATTTTTCACGATCCTAGGGCAACCGACCGACCCGGATTGAGTAAAGGAAAGCTGCCCAAAACTGATCAGGCCGGCTAGCTCATTTGATTAGGCGAATAAACCGAGCTCATTTGACCCACAAAAAAATATGGGCTGGGTTAGCCCGTTTATACAGGTGCAACAAGGACGGCAAAAGAAAGAGAGTGACTTGTGTACCCAAAAAAAAAAAAAAAAGAGTGGCTTAACACAAGCCGTAATACATAAAAACTGATACATCAACAACGGGAATGCAGGAGCAAGCATAGTACATGGTGCTGGCTAGCCAAATATTATAACCAAGGCTAAAGGAACAGGTCCCCTCTTGGCCATATTTGATTATTTAAGCTTCATTTGTTACAGTTAGAAAGAATAAATATTTGCCAAGAATTGATCTAACCTGAGCTACATACCACCATATAACTTCTACTACTTGGGAGATTAAACACTGGCTCAGAAAAGAAAAAATTATATATGATAGTACAAATGAAAAGATGACCAAAAGAACGCTTAAATTACTGTCTTCACCAGAAGCTCAAACCGCTTGAATTGCACTGTTCTTGCCACTGTTCAAATCCGAACCACCAACTGGAGCGTTTGCATGGAATGCTGACTGCCTTGAGGGCTCTCCTAACAACTTCAAGGAAAGTGGGGAAGGCTCTCTATCAAGTACCTGTGTTTCCCCAATGCTTAAATGAGACATTCCCACAAGTTCATCAACATTGACAGGTTCCTTGGGAATGACCGGGATTGGCTTGAGAACCTGATGATGAGATGTCTCTCCTCCGTTAACTTCTCCAAAGGGATCTGCAATTGATGGCCATATGGAAAATGGGACAGGAATATAAGCTGGGAAGAATCCAGGAGCCATTGGTGTCAATCTGTTTGACCCTGTCATAGTTTCATTGGGCTCTTCCACATTTTCTTGAGAAGTAGTTTCCATGGGTTCAAATTCAGACTTCAGAGAGAGATTTAATGAAGGCTGTGATTTTCCACTACAAGGCTGTGAGTTCTCAGAAGGTGGAAGTAGTACTTGTTCTTCTGGCACCGAAGGTGGATCTGAAGACTGACATATGATTAAGAGAGAAACTATTAGCTAGAGGTAAAAAACATACGTAATACTCATCAAACATAACTCAGTCAATATACAGCTACAATGACGCTGATCCCATTTGCATTCATTAGCAAATACAGGTTTCTGTGTCATAGTAACAGAAATTTTTGTCTAAAGCAAGAACAACTGTCAAGAAATCCAACACCGTCAAGGTGTCATCATGTTATAGATATGTGAATATAACACCATATTTCCCTTAGTCTTATATATAGAATATGTTTAAACGAATTCAAGCAAAGCACACCACTTTGTTTTTTTTAAATGACATGACTCGAGTTGTCAACAAGAAACTTGTAATGCGAGTAATGATAACTTTTAGCTTGCTTATCGACTGGTGTTCATGTACAAGCAAGGACCACACTAGTTTACATTTGTCAGAGAACATGTAGGCATGATGATGTGTGCAAGAATAATGCTCAATTAGATATGATGAATGAAAACCAACCATATCTGGAACCATGTCAAAAAGGCTGGAACGTCTCTTTCTCCTGGTAGCATTACTCTGCCGGATAAAGTACTTCTGGGCATGACTTGCTACTTGAGTAGGGGTCCTTGACACAACAAAATTACGTGCTATCCCACGCCAGTCTCCTTTGCCCAGCTTCTGGAGACCAACTAAGAACATCCGATGTTCTTCTTCAGTCCATGGAACACCTAAAAGACACAAAATAATATGTTGAGAAAAGTAATCCAATTACTAGCGACAAAAGGGTACACAGCCTGCTTAATAAGTCAACTGTCCTTGATAAAATGCAACAGTCCAATACAGCAACTAATATCCTTGGAGACAGGAAAATAAAGTTGAGAGGCTGTGACATAAAAACAATTAAGTAGCAAGGTAGCAACAATTCTAGGTTGGTAAATAGACATGCCTTAAAGGGACTAGAACCAGATATCATCCACGCAGGAGTCAAAGATTTCGTGTAATTGAAAAATTACCTAAAAATGACACCAAGTCAAACTATGGCCCATAAAACTTTCAGAACTCATAAATGACATGAGTTGGCAAAAATTAACTATACACCACACCACCTTACCTTAAGATACATAGCAAACAACCAACGACTTTGTTGGTTTCAAATTAGGAAGAAAAAACTTAATAAATATTTGCTAACCAATTAAATTGCAAAAAAATACAGTGTCATACAATTTAATGCAGTTACAATAATTATTATGAAAAAGCGATGCACATAACACATGCTATTAACAATTTCAGAAAGCAAACATAGCCATTAAATCATTTGATTTTAAGTTTGTCATTACAAATATCTCTGGCTCTTAGCCCTGTATAATCTTTGCTAGTAAACTAATAAGCATATGAATATAACTTCTCTCAGAAGGGATAAAAACCAAAACTCATGATTATGTCTGTCTTAAAGCCAGACACAACAATAACCGCACCTACTTTTCCGGGTTTCAAGCTGATCATAATTAGTATTTAGTGGCTACATGTTTGCCACATTTACAAAAAACTTGAACTGAATGAATATGCAACAGCTATACATGCAATTGTACTTGAACTAGTTAAGCCACCCAAGAGCATTGCATGTGGTTTTAGGACGGAAAGGCAATTTGACTCAAGCAATAAACAGAGTCTTGTGCTAAATGAATGCCACTAATAATCAAATCGCAAATTTACTTTTTTTGTTAATTACTTAATGGACCGGTTACCCTTATTCAGAAATAAATTTAATAGATGCCGTGACATATACAGTTTTCCAACGCCATCCCCTTGTCCATGAAAGAAACTAAGCATAATTATCAAAAATTCTTTAAAACCAATGTCAACTTTCCCTTGTTGGCCAATGTCTCAAAATACTGTAATATATTACGCATACTATATAATAAATACTTCACATTCATCCAAATTACGCATGAATAATGACATTAAATGCCATCATTGCCAGCAAGCCTGGACCAATCAGACAAAAATGAGTTCCGTAAAATGTGAACAAGAAAACCAAAATACCATTAAGATATAAGAGGGAAAAATAAAAATAAAAATTCATTGGAGTTTATGCCCAGAGATTCAAAGGCAAATACAACACGGCAGAATGTTTGGTTTACCATCGTAATCATTAACCACCAACTGATTTTTCATTTCCGTGAAATTTAAAAAAAAAAAAAAAAAAAAACCAATTCCGAATTTCACATGATTAAATAATAATATTATATTAAAAAAAGTTTATAAAGCAAGGAAATTCAAAATGTTTATGAAAGGTGAAAGAAATAAAATAAAAAATAAAAAAATGCAGAAAATAAGAATAATTTATATGATGATACCTTTCTTTCTTTCTCCACGGCGATTAGCGACGGTGGAGGCATGGGCCGGGTCATCGGATAAGTAGCCGTCAGGCTCATGGGGCGGGTCGGAGCACGGGGATCCGGGATTGGGAGATGAGGCAGCAGCGACAGAACAATGGTGAAGAGCAGAGAGGTTGAGGTTTCCCATGCTTGCGCTCTTCTTTATGATTGATCCATCCGTCAGCCTCACCCCGAAAAGCTTCACTCCTCCACCACCACCACCACCAGTGCGTGACGGGCACGTCCTCGAGTTGTGGCCGTTGTTGCTACAGTGAGAGCACCGCCGAGTCATGCCGATTCTACGCCGCCTGACTCGGTCGAAACAACAATCACAGGATTCGAGGGAGGAAGGGAGGCAACAAAGCAACCAGCCAGCCACAACCAACAACAACACGATGCGATGGAATTTTGGATAAAAAGAAAGAATAGTTAGAAGGAAAGAAAATGCATGTCTTCGCGCAATTAAGGAAAACGTGCCTCGTGGATGATTTCGGTATTTTTCTCACAATTCCAGGGCTATTTCTGGTATTCTATTTTAAGCCCTTCAATCTAATCTCAGTAGAACGCGGTGGATCACTAGTCGCTTAAACTTTGCATTGCAATCACTCTTTTGCCCTTTCCTTCTTCTTTTCTTGCTTCTTTTACAACTCCACTAATTTTATTTTATTTTTTACTTCAGAAATTCATTTTTGTTTCACTGCATTATGATTAGTTATAATAATTTATTTTAAGGATTCTTTTGGTGGTCAAAATAGAAAAGACACGATAGGATAAACCTATCATATTTTTTCTTTTAATTTTAGTAAAAAAAAAAATTTTATGGCGAGCATTTGGTCATTTTATTTATGTTGAGTTGGTATCATCTGGTCAATATGGATAGCATCTGAGTGTTTGATTGTTTAAGGAAAAGAACGGTTGGAGAGTAAACATGGATCCAAACTTTATCACTTTATCCTTTGCAACAAATATATGGCGAAAGTGATTTTGATTTTATTTGTCTCATGCCATCTAGTTTCCAAATCTATGTGGATTCTCTTGTTTGCTTTTTCGTTTTTGCTTTTTTAAATTATTATTATTAGTTGCTCATTTCATATTTCAAAAATAAATATAAGAGTTTTATATTTCTCCGGCTGCACGTACATAAATTTGAAAAGAACAAGTTAAATTCACTTATTTTTATATGCAAGCAGGAAATAAAGTTATTGTTATGGACTCATATATGAGGCCTATAAGCTCAACAAAAGGCAATTCAAATATAATCAATCAAAGATATCAATTATAATACGACAACATAATATCATAGGTTTGGACTATTCGCAATAACACTGAAGGTCCAGCACTTAATACTCACATGTAAACTCTATAAATAAGAGGTAAAACCTTTAGGTACGCACACTTTCTCTTTTACTGTTATATTGTCACTGTACACACACTCCTTTAACAAAAAAGTTATTTATTATTCTTCTGTGCACAGTAATCTGCTTGATTTAAGAGTACCTTAGAGATAACATCTAAATCTATTAGACTACACATTTTTTTTTTTTTTTTTTTAAACATAGACTACACATCTTTATCTCTAAGTCAAAACAGTTATGCAGAACAAATATTAAATCATAAGTATCAACAACTAAAATTATAAACACCTATTACTTTTTTTTTGGGGTGAAGTAACACCTATTACTTTTTAATACTTATCAGTTAATTTTAAATATTTATAGACGTCAAATATTTTTATTCGAATACTTTCTTATTATAATAAAATACTCACGCGCTAGTGACACTAATGATTATCAAACTAAGAAGTTTCATTATTTTAATCTTCACTGCAATCGTATGAATTTTCCCTAATGATAATATCCTTGCCATCTTGTAAAAATATTTTTAAGAAATGTTTATTTGTCTTCTATTATCAATAGAAATATTTTTAACATTATTATTCAATGCTTTATTATCATATTATTAAAAGAAACTTATAAATTACTCGACTTAATATGATAATCCAAACTAAAAAAATAATATAAAAGTGTTTTCTCAAAAAATATTTCATAAATTTAATAATTATATATTTTTTTGTACGCATTGAATTTTATTTATTCGACTACTAATTTTCCTTGTTTGATGTAAAAGGATGATTGCGCAATTATCGGGAATGGAGGGCGGAGTTTGTATTGTAGTGGAGTGATTTGGAGGTGTTGCGATTAAATTAGAACTCTTTAAAAAAAGCCAATGAGTGTATTTACGGATGAGAAATAGGCCGCGTGGAATAGATGGACGATGGTAGCCCACAGCTACTTTACGTGGAGTTGAAGCTATTACATGTCACATTATTTTATTTCTTCACCTCATCCAAAAGGAATATTTCCTTTTTTTTACTATTTAGTCTTTACTCATTGCAGAAATGTTACTTAATTATATTTGAGTAAAATTTTTTGACTCCTTAACGAAAATACGATTATTTTTTGACTCTTAACAAAAATACGATCATTACTGTAGTTTTTTATAAAAAAAATAAGTACCGAGATTTCTAAGAAATTCAATATGGATTTATTTAGTTAAAATTGTGGTCCCTCGCAATTAAAAAAAAGATCCACATTAGTTCCTCAAAAAAATTAAAATTGGTCCACTTTGAATTTCATTGAAACAGGACGACTAAATTTTTTTTTATAAGGGACTAAAATGAGGACCGTATTTTTTATTAGAGATCTAAAAAGGACTTTACTCATTATATTTTCACACATATTATTATATATTTTTAGGGAAGAATATTTATCATTTTTTTAGAGTAAACACCATTTTTGGTCCCTGGCAATATCTACGAAATTCTTTTTAGTCCCTGGTAATAAAAAAGGACCAAATTGGTCCTAAAATTATGAAAAAAGGGTCACGTTAGTCCTTATGTCAACTCCTCTGTCACTAACGTGGCCCTTTTCTCATACTGTTAGGGACCAATTTGATCCTTTTTTATTGCCAGGGACTAAAAACGATTTCGTAGATATTGCCAGGGACCAAAAATTGTGTTTATTCTAAAATATATAACTTTTTGTCATTTTAGATCATAATTGTTGATTTTCGTCAGTCAACGAATATAATTTATTGGGTCAAACTTATTAATTAATTAATATCTCGTAATAAATTATAATTGTTGATTGACGGAAATCAACGATTAGAATCTAAAATGACACAGTTATATTCTTTAAAAGGAAAGCTTTTCCCATATTTTTATGATATTAATTATTTAATTATAGTTGATTTTCTTATCATTAAAATATTTGTAAAGTTAATCTACAAAGGTAGCTCAGTTGGTAACTAAGTGTGCAAAGTTTTGCTTTAGTCATGAATTCAAACCTTGTTGTTCTGTCCATGAGACAAAAAGGTCTAATCAACGACTAGTAAGTCAATATTAGATTTATGTGTCATCTCTCTCGCATTTATGAGAAAAATACTTTAGAGATCAGCTAGTATAATTAAAGAATTTTTTCTTAATTTCTTTTTAGCCATAATAAGCCCTTTTTAGGTCTTTTAGAATATGAGCCTTTGTTAGGTCCATAATATTTGGTTAAAGCAAATTCTTATAATTCTTGGAAGTTAGAGAAAAATCACATCTCCCTCAAAGGAGGAATAATCTCATTCTTTCTTTGGTGACAATGGTCCAATACATTTTCTATTCCAATAAATATCTAACTTTAAAGGAGCCGTACTCTGAGAATAAAATAATTGAAGGAGGTTGAGTGAGGGTAGCTTTATGTTATTAAAAATATATATATATCTGTACAATTATCCTACCGTATTACCATCGGTACAAATATGATAAATGTGAAAGGATAAGTAACGTATAAAAAATATTTGTTCAGTATTATATGCTGCTCTGCTATGTTTTCTTTCTTCTCCTTCCTGATCACTTCCACTTGCATAAGCTCTTCTCTAATTTTTTTTTAATATATTTATTGGTTCATTGTTTACCTGATTAAAATAAGGGGCGGTTTTCTTAAAAGCATTTTCTTTGTTCCTAGGAGTCGTGAGATCACATTATATAAAGAATCACTTCAACTCAAAATCTTAATGTATTGGGTAAGGGCCTACCTTAATGTGTTAGGTAAGGGCCTTTTTAATTGTTTATAATATTCTCTAATACATCCTCTCACTCAAGAATTATTTGGGCTTGATGCCTTATGTTTATTTAATTCTACAAGTGGAAAGCGGTGAGAATCGAACTCGTAATCTTGTGGTCACTGAAGCTCTAATACCATGTAAAGAATCACTTCAACTCAAAACCTTGAAGTATTGAATGAGAGCTTTTTTAATTGTTTACAATATTCTCTAACACAGTAATTTGAAAATGTAAGTTAATTTCGACTAATTAACTATTTAGTCAGTTCAAATACTTGCGTTTAAGGGCATAAATGGGCTAGATCGGCCTAAAGGGACCTACGACTTAGCTTATATCAGGTTAGGCTTTATCTATTACATATAGTCAAATAGAACAGGTCTAAACTTTAAAAAAATCTATTTAGAAAATAGGCCATAGATTTTTTTATATATTTCGGGCAAATAAGCTTACAGGTCAACCTATATATAGGCTTAAATAAGATAAATAAATATTATTTTAATAATTTTGAATAATATAGTAATATTATTTAGTTGTTTTTTAATTATTAAATGTTTAATAGCTTAAATAGACTAACAGGCCTAGGTCACAACTTTAATTTTTTAAATATAGATTAGGTCAAATTTATAATTTGAGCCTATACAAATGCTAACAGGCTAAGTCAAGTCAAAGATTTTTTTGCATAGATCTAATCTATTTAAACTAAAACTCAGTCTAACCAAACATATTTACACCACTACTTTCAATAAAATTATATAAAAGGCAAATTATCTATTTTATAGTTGTATTCATGTTTCCCAATGATAGAATACAAGTCTTAAGTATAACTGGTTAGCTGGCAGTTAGTTAGATTAGAATAGATGACTCAGCAACACTATGTGGGTCCCTATATATATACACTACACAAGTGTATCTGTAATTATCAATTCAGTTGCTTAATCAAGATGTGCATTTCTTATTTTCTCTCTGAACCCTAGATCCTCTTTCTCTTCTCTTTCATCTTTTCATCTTTGGTTCTGATATCTTTATGGTATCAAAGCTTTGATCGATCCATGGCGTCATCTTCCACCAACAATATTTTGCACACTTTCTCAAATCCAGTCTCATTCAAGCTTGATGAGACAAATTTTCTTCCGTGGAAACAGCAAGCGTTATCCACCATAAAAGGATTCAAACTTCAACGATTCATCACAAGATCTGAAGAAACAGAGCTTGAAAGAACTTCTCAGAGCGAAAGATCTGAAGAAACAGATGCAGAAACAGAGCTTTATGAACAACAAGATCAACTTCTGATGTCTTGGCTGCTTTCATCCATGTCTGAAACCTTGTACA